GTTAACGTGTTTGTGCCAATATTTATGGATTTTTTGTATCCGTTCTGAAGCTGCCTCTGTGAGACAGAAGTCGTAGATAACGATTAAAAGATATTGGAATGTTCGAATCACTTGCCTTATTATTCTATTTTTGGCACCATATTAGTAATTTTAGCTTGGCGACGGATTCTTTTCTATAATGCGAAATATGGATGTGGAACTGCTTCAACCATTGCAAATTTGAGCATGTTTACTAAAAACAGTGCACAACGAGTTTAAACTGAAAGGAGCTCATATGTCGTCATCATATAGCTCCTAGAGATATATAGACCCTTATTAATGCTGATAATACAGAAATGAATAAACAGTTATTAAGCACGTCAACAACCAAAATGGGTACTGCAAGTTTAAATGCCAAATGTGGATTGAACAAATAGGTTTCAAAATTGGTTCCCCTGATTTAACTCCGCCAGATTTCCTTTTAACTATCCCATAGAATGTAGCAGAGTTATTCCACATTTTTTGACTTTTTGTATATGAGGTTTGATGTAAAATACAATTTATGTTTTCAATACTCCCCAGGTTTTTAATTTTATCCTATTTGAAACAAAAAATTCGATCAATCATGGAAACGAATATATTTGTTTATTTTAACCAATACACAATGCGTTCTTACACTGAGAAGTCATGAGCCGTCATAAAGCGGTCAATGATTTTAGTGCACGTGCCGCAAACAAAAATGCTTTATTTTTGAATATTGATTTCACTATTATAACTGCTAAACTTAGTGTGGAAAGTAAAGAAACGTTGCTATGTACATCTTGGTTGGTCTGTGCACTTTTAGGTGTATAATAAAATAAAAATAGAAGAAATAAAACCGTTTTTATTTCTAAGCTGTTGGTTTAAATGAAGAAGAAAACCGAGATGCCAACAGGATTATTGGAAACGTCCACAAGTTCGATTCATTAACAACCAACGTAGCAGCAATGCAGAAGTAAATGGTATTAACACAATCAGTTAAAACTAAGTGTGAGTGTTTTTTTATATCTAAATCTAAATGAAAATGAAAGATACGGGTTCATAATAACTTTACAAAAAAAGAGTAACTGAAGATGAATTTTTTACTTTATGTAAAGAACTTTTGGACGATGAAATTAAATTTTTTCATTACTCAATCAACAAATAACATTGACAATAAAATGTTTGTCACATCTGAACATTCAAAATTGCTACACATAAGGATAAACCTGAATACATAAAAATTACATTTTTTCGACAGACGTAAATGAAAAAAAACATGAAAATCATGGAGAGAGTCTTGTTGTCTTCGGGGTTGCTCGATTATTATGGTCTATTCGAAAGATGATCGGTATCATAAGCGGGTTCACGCAGACAAATACATTTGTGTTCAATATCGAACACATAATTAAATTAAATGAAAAACCATGTCATTATCGGAATCGGAGCAGAAAATGGCCGTAACCCAATCACACTATATTCATACCAGCACTAGATAAAAAATGCGATGAATAATAAATTTTGATCGTGAGCTGGCAGTGAACGTACTGTGACTTGAGCACTCAGTGGAAAATTACCTTTAGGATAACGCTTCCAGTTCTAATATTGGGTCGAAAACACTAAAAATGTGTGTTTTCGATTGGTCCCGCTTTTATTATTTACATAGATAATATGTACAAACTTTAAAAAACGCATTTGTCACCTCAGTCTCTGGAATGAATTGCGAAGAAATTGGAGAGTGGAGCAATATCTGAAGATCTTACAGGCCATTCTATTGATCCCCTTCTACCAATTTAAATTTTCGCACACTTGTCGAGCAAAATGAAGGGGAGCACTATCCCGTTGAAATCAAATCTATCTGGTATATCAGGCTGATTTGGATTAAGTATAATTTTGATCAGTAATATTTTGATCGAATAAATAAGGTGCAATAATTTTGTTATTTAAAATCCCTTCCCAAACATTTATTTTTGTGAATGTTGTCATCCATCGGGGATTATTATAATTTGATTCTATTGCCGTACCATTAAAAAGAAGTAAACAATATTTGATTTGATTAAGTTTGGCCGCAGTCTGCGGTTGAGATTATCTTCGTTCAGCTTCTGTGTATATACCTAACGCTGCTTGTTAGCTAACATCATTATTTAAAATTATTTCAGAAAATGTTTAACCTGACCGTAGTCAATCTTTTACACTTCCTCTTTCAAAAACTTCTTGAGTTGTCCATATTCAATAGAAGTTAAAATTTATCTCTTGGTTTGGACAGCAATTATAACAAGTCTTTTATTTTACTGACATCTACTTTTTCACCCACCCTGTATAGTTTCTATTTACTGCAAGAAAAAATTATGAACGACCTGATTTTCAAATGAGTTTGTTCCATATTTTAGTCGTTCACTGTATTTGGAATATTATGTACGTTCTAATCAGCATTTTAAAGATCCAATGGTAAAAACTAGATGTAACTACTATAACAATATCTATTTTAATATGGTGTTGGTTATCTCCCGCATTAAGCTTCTCGATTTAATGCCCAAAAAATTAGTCGAATTATTTGCAAAAGCCAGATCGTGGATTCCGCAAAGGCCCTCTAAAATGCGGGCGTACGAAGAAAATCATCCGTGTAAATATCAAATCTACTAAACAGTCGCAACCACCAAAGTAGGGAACCATTCGACTTTTGCCGAACGATCACGGAACGCAAGCGACGGGTGACTAAAATCGACTGCGAAAATGCTTCAGTTCTAGTCGATTTCTCGCCATATGAAAGTCAAAGCTGGTGTGTGTGTTCTGCTAAGTACGTGAAAATTTAAGAGTTAACATGAATAAAAATAATACGATGCTTTTTTCGAATGCAATGAAAAGTATGGTCTGTTCATAGATATAAGAAAGTGACCATTTGCTTTTGAATGGGGTGGTCATTAACATACACTGCAACAAGATTACTATCTAAAGTTTCGGAATTTAAATTCAGGTAAAATTGTGGTCCGTAATAGAAAATAATTTTATACCTACCTGTCTTTAATATTCTTTGCTTGGGTATACTACTTAGTTTAAGTTTATTAGTAATCATTCTTATTTCGTGTGTTGAATTATGCAAAATATGTACGAGTCTAGTGTATCTCAGGAGATGCTCCCGCCCAAATGTAGAAAACACTATTCTATTGAGACTAAGGAAGTTATAAACAATGTTTATTTGACTCTCATTGAACGTGGTGCTAGCAAGCAAGCATCTTTAGAAGAAACGGCCACATTGATGAAAATTCCAACATCAACTGTATGGAAAATTGTGAATAATCTCATTTCAGCGAGGAAAAAAGAAGCGATGCTGACATTTTCTCGAGTGTAGATGAAAGTGATCAAGATATAATGCGGAGTAAAATTTAGCAGTTATACGAGAAACAAAGCGTGCCTACATTAGATATCTTAATTAGGAGGCTTGAAAAAGATGAAACCGGTGTTAAATGTGGCAGAACTACCTTATGGAAGTGTATTCAGCACATGGGTTTTAGATTTTAAAAAATTGGCAAAAGTTTTAATGGAATCTTTTAGAATTCGGAAATGGCGACTAATATCTAGAAAAAATGGGGATTTATAGAAAACACAAAGGCCAATTATTTACTTGGATGAAACCTGGTTCGACACTGATGATACCCCGGAAGGGTTGGGTTGACTCAACTGATAAGTGTAAAACAAACGGGCCCTCAAAAAGAGGTAAAAGAATAACTATTTTGCATGCTGGCTCTAAAGATGGTTCGATTCCAAATTGACTGAAGACACCACCGTTGATTTATTTGAAAGTTGGTTTAAAAACAAACTAGTTCCAAACATTCCTCCTAATGGCGTAATTGTAATGGACAATGCAAGTTATCACAGTAGACAGTTGACTAACCCCTTCCTCTTCTGACACAAAAGCAACAATCCAAAACTATATGTATAATAACGACATTTATTTTCACGAAGATTATACCAAAAAGCAATTAATTGAGGTTCTACAAAGCTTGAACCTACAAAAGGAAAACGTCTATGATAATAATGCAAACAATCTAGGGCATACAGTTTACCACTGTATATTTAATCCCATTGAGCATGTTTGGCACCAACTGAAATCTGCCATTCGTCGTAACAATGTGTTAACTCCAATGTCGTCAAACGTATAGAAACCGAAGTTTTTAACATCCCTTCTCAAAGTTGGGCAAATTCTGTTAAACATATAGAAAAAGCAGAGCAATCGCAAATCCATACTGCAAATAATATAGAACAAATAATAATTCGAACAGGCGATGATAGCGATAGTGATACTGATATATTATGTGAATAATTTTAAGTAATTTAAATAAAGTAAGTAATAAAAATAATTTGTAATTTTATTTTAGATTTAAACATAAATACATACATAAATAAATAAATATTGTTTAGTATTATTCCAGAATCCACAAATAATTAAATTCTAGGTAAAGTACGGACCTGGCCATATTTCATTCTTACAGCTTGCCCGGGTCTTTCCTTAATTCGTATCAGTTAGTCACGTTCTTATATCTATGAACAGACTTTACCCCTGCTTATGGAACTCAAGAGAAACGCGTCTTTCCATATCAGTTGAAGAACTTAAATCAAAGATAAAACACCTGCTCCGGTTATCATTTTCAAAACATATATACTGAGTCGCTTGCGTTTTCAATCGGCTTTGGTACTGCCTTATCTAATCGACTTGCAAAAATTGATTGATCTTTGGTCCACCCAGGACCCACCGTCGTTGACGTCTCAATCACTCCACCACCACTATGCGGCGACCACCATCAGACCGCTTTTAGGTGGGATCTCCAGGTGTATGCCGGTGCATCTCTCCGTCGCAGCGGTCGTAATTAGACCCGAACGCGGCACCGGCCACCACGCGGCCTCGTGGGTGGATGGGTGGGGTGAGGGCGGTTCTCCCGACGTGGTGGGGGCAGGGGCGTGCGCGGAGGGCGGCCCGAAACGGTCGCGCCGACGGTCGCTCCTCAGTCGGGCTCAGTATCGCGTCAGTCGATGTTGCCGCGCGAGTCGCATCCGCTGTGAACATCAAAAACATTTACGTGCGTCTGATATCTATATCCCTCACGTGGTGCCGCCTGGCTTTGGCAAAACGTTTGTTATCGTCGCGACGATGTGCGTCCCGACGCCGGACTGAACCCTAGCAACACTCGGCCGGTGGTGCGTGGCGTTTAATTTCTTTTGGCAAACTTTGTCGTGTCGTCTCAGGTGAACAGAGGAAGGATGCAGCACGCGACCGGATCGCCGCAGCAGTTCTGCCTGCGCTGGAACAACTACCAGACGAATTTGACGAACGTGTTCGATCAGCTGCTCCAGAGCGAGTCGTTCGTCGACGTGACCCTCGCCTGCGACGGCCACTCAGTCAAAGCCCACAAAATGGTCCTGTCCGCGTGCAGTCCCTATTTCCAATCCTTGTTCTTCGAGAACCCGTGCCAGCATCCGATCGTGATCATGCGGGACATCAAGTGGCCGGAACTCAAAGCGGCCGTAGAGTTTATGTACAAAGGCGAGATCAACGTGTCGCAGGAGCAAATCGGGCCGTTGCTCAAGGTGGCCGAGTCGCTCAAGATCCGCGGCCTGGCGGACGTCAACGGTGAGCAAGACATCGCCGCCGCACCTGGTACCACCGGCGAGCTCACCGCCAGACCATCCTCGAAGCCCGCTCCACCGACACCGACCCCCACGCTCGATTGGGATCGATCCCAGCAACAATCTTCGTCGTCGCAACAGCAAACGGGCACTCAAGACGGGGGCGGTGAGCGGGCGAAAAAAAGACGTCGCCCCTCGGGCGAGCGTAGCAATCTAAACAGCCCCGCGGAGATTGGCGCGGAAATGGCAGAACCGCCGGCGTCGGTGGAGATGGCGCCGGCACCGCCTGCGACCCCCTTACCGCAATCGGGTGCCGTGGAACCGCTCCCGTTGCCCCTCACTTTGCCGCCCCAGACCCAGGTGTCCCACGGCGGGTCCGCCGTAACTGACGACATGGAAATCAAGCCGGGAATCGCAGAGATGATCCGCGAGGAGGAACGGGTGAGTACGCTTTTTCTTTTACGACCCTCGAAACTGGGGCGACGAGAAAGTTAGCGCGCGCCTGTGGTTTATTTACGCCGGGACCGGCACACGTGCGAAACACGTGAATCTGGCGTCGACGTTCGAGGCGGTTTTTTTGGTTTTCTTCGCGTTTCTCGGCAGAAGAGTTCGTCCACGTATCGTTTGTTGCGCTAGGAAAGATTGTTGGGTTTGAAGTTTACCCTGTTAAGGATTGTAACGATTGTAAATAACGTATATTTATTTCCTTAATCCCTACTGTTGAGCAAGGGTTAAGAACGTTATTTTTTCTACTATCGCGTGGAAAACAAAAGAAAGAATTAGAAAATTGTAAAGTTAACTTCCTTATTGTTAATATTAATCGTATACTTCGACCAGAATTATAGTGCTTTTACAACCGATCCCGTGATTAACTTTGCCTACTCTAATGCTCCTAAAAGAGGGGACAGGATTCTCCTCAGGGAACCTATCATTGATATTGAACAATTACAATTCGGACTTTTTACTTCGGAGAATGTGTTGTAAGTGTGGAGGTAAACAAAAATTATCCGTATTTGTCTTAGCTACATGGCTATACCATGACCAGAAATATTGTGTTTTTACAATCGACACCGTGATTAACTTTGCCTACTCTTTATTACCCCAAAACCTCAGCGCCTTATAGAACACCCTGCCGAGCACACCCTAGGACTTTATCTACCTACACTAACAAGTGGGATATAAGTATGTTTACAATCTTGTTCGCCGAGCAATTCTTGAAGCATGTAGTTTATTTATTACGTTCTACATCAGTTGTTTTCATTGTTGCTCCTACTTCCAATTCCGAATTGCTTATAAATAAATAAATATATTATAATATAAATTCTGCTTTGTTTTCCATGTCTTCTTCTAACTGAGGAACATCTGCTTCATTACACGGTCTCCACATTATAAAGTGTTAAAAACAGGAACCTATCAAATAATGTTTAATCGTCAGATTCTAATAAATATTTATCTGTATTCTGGTGACGTACCTCTATATTACAAGACACAAAAATACAAGAAGAAAAATGTTGTCAATCGACAGGCACACAAGACAAAAATGATTATTTTCAAACTTACCTATAAGATAAATAGAGTACTATTCAGTGAAAACAGCCCCGCAGGGCCAAAGCTCGAGAATCAAATATATAAATACGTACTTGCTGGAAGGATCACAGTCAAATACCTGTGTAATATATACGAACATATTGCGATTTGGATTAAGCTATAAAATAAACGCTTCTACTTATTCGAAAATACCCCGCAGCATCAATTTTACGTTTCAAATAAAAAATTCAACAAATGCACTATATTTTTGGTCCTACGCGCGTTTCGTGTACTGATTACACGGAACGGTTCATGTGTGTTTTGAAAAACACGTTATGGTGTGCAGCTTTTCACGACATCTATTTAGTTTTTCTACATTGCAACCAGAGTCCCTTTGACGGAAACGTAACTTGTTTTCTTTTTATCGTTTGTCTTTTTGTCTGCAATTTTTTTACCAGACTGGTAGGTAAATGGACTATAATGTAGTACCTAATTTGTGGAATTTAATAGATGGCCAACAAATAATTTGTTACAGTATTAGAAGTATGATATAAATCTTCGAGAAGCCTATTTCTAAAATTTTGATTTTACAGCAGTCCGCCTTAGTTAAGTCCGAGGTTAAATCGCCTTTAAATAATAAACAATTTGAAATTTGATCTGTTGTAGTTGCATTTTTTGGAATGTTAACTAAACTAATCCTTCCGATTGTTGAACTCACTTTTTTTAAGGTTATAAGTGGTAAGATATATAAGAAGTATTTTCTCTGGTTTTTTTCTAGTTCACTATTTTTTTTTTCGCCAGAAAATTAAGAATTGTCATCTAAGTTGCTATCTAAATGTGTTGACCGTATCATTTTCAATAAAAAAATCTTAATCAAACCTGGAAAAAAAATGGAGGAGAAAGTTTTTGAGAAAACGTTTTAAAAATATATTTTTATGAAATTTATAATTTTCCCACTTAAAAAAAAATGTTTTAAATTTTTTTTGCTAAATAGTTTCTTAATTGCGGCAGAATACAAACAAAAATGCGAAATGTTTGTATAATCTATAAAATCTGACACCGATGAATTCTTTGTGAAATCTAGGAAATCATGGGTTGGTGTGAAATTTGGCGCACCATTTTTGGATGCTGATTTGTCCCTCGGATAAAAATAAGAACGTGTGATCGATTATTGAAAAAACTGTGTTTTTACTTTGTCGTTACAATCAGTGGACAAGTATCGAAAACAAAAACAAAACTCAGAACAGGTTTGGGTGTGTTTTCAGTTTTCGTTTGCTTTTTTGAGTTCCAAGGAACACAAACAAATACAACAACAGTAAGGTTTAGTTTTTTTTTTCATATTTATAAATAATATTGTTAAAACTACCAGTCTTTTGAACCATTGTACCAATTTTGAATGTACTTTTAAGTACGAATACAAAAAAGTGTTACTTAACACGTTTGATATTTGAAGGTGATGTTATTTCTGCGCATATCACTTTCTTCTGCACTTCTTCGTGGATAAGAACACAACCTATTCCACTAGCTGTTTCTTCAGAGTTCTATGCGTTCTACGACTATGTAGTGGTATGTGGTTAAATATACGTGCAAAATATTGTGTGGTGATTGGAAATAAAAATGAAACCATAGCAAAAAACTGTAATAAAAACGAGACAAAAAGGTAAAATACAAATAAATAAATAAAATAAAATAAAATAAATAAAAAAAACAAAGTTTTTTACTAGACCTGAAGAGCTCAAGTATTTTTTTTGCTTCAAAATTTTTGTAATATAATTTGGTATCATTTTGCGTGCAATTTTTAATATGATATTAATATTTTCGCAGCCACTGCCTCTCGAAATATTTATAAACTTGTTTGTGTCAATAAGAATGAGCTGCATCTGTAAAATGTATTATCAAATACCCAACTCGCAACATCATATGTTGTTCGGATTTTTTGTTTCTTTTGGAATGGACAAATTTTAAAACAACACCAAATGGATGAACTTTGGTGTCGCATGAATGCCCAAGTGATAAAACACTTGCAAGCGGAGATTTGGTAATCCAAGTTGTTTAAACTGGATTAATAAATTAATAAATAAATAAAAATTTGGATTTTTAAAAATGGAAAAAAATGCGAAACCATCCAAGGAAGCAAGAAGTAACATTACTTTAAATTGAATTGGGTAATCCAGGTTATAAATTGCGTTATCAGATATTTAAGCTGCTATAATAAATTGTTCGCTTGTTCTTCACTTAGTTCTTATTTAGTTCTAAATAGTTAAATTTTGCAAATCCAAAAATCATATTATCATTACATATATTTATTGTCGAACCAGATTCTTTTCATAAAAGCAAGCAAATCGCATTATGGTGTCAAAATATTTTATTTATTTATTTAGTTAAAACATTTGCGTTGCCATTGTCGCTGCTTTCCAGTGTAAAATATTTTTGTGTCATCTGTGTTTTATGAACTTCTGTTATTGAATAAAACACTCTTTCTTTTCCAAATTAAATAATATTCTTTTTTAATTGGTCGTTTTTTTTTTGTTATCGAAAATTTATTATTTTTTTATTGTCAACCTCTTCAATATTTTTTTTACCGATTACATTAAGGTGCGTCAAACTCTTTTGTAAGTTTAATGTCCCATTGAAACGAATATCCTGACAAGAACTTCAATTCTATAAACCCGAACACCCTCGACCGGTTTAGAACAGATGTTAATATAATATTCCATCGATCCTACAAAAGAGGCGTCCGGTTTAGTTTTTCTGTTCACCCTAATAGAAATATATTATATATGGGGGCAAGCCCACCAGATATACCCCGTATACTCAATTGATTATTAATTATACTTTATATTATAATAAAGAAAATGCCAAATTAAATTCCCAACTTAATTTGAAAGCATTGTTCGATAATAATGGATTTTGCCTATCCGCTTTTTAAGCTCGGGGTCAATTTTTTTTGACGGGGTATTTTTTTTCGCTAGTTGTCATTCAACCTTACCTTGTTTGCATTTATATCTGACACCGACATTTATATATGTATATTATTCAGGCAGGTGCTAAAATATGTTGGATGAAGCAATTTTCTTGGTAATTTTAATAAGTGCTGCCAGCCATTAACATAATAAATTCCATATTAAATTTTAATCATAAATAACACGCTTACGGATTACACTTTGTACTTAATACAGAATACAGAATATGTCAAAACAAATGCGTAAAACTTAAGGGGGTGATTTCGTGATTAAAATAAAGCGTGGTTTGTTATATGAACGTTGGGTCAAAAACCAACCATTAGGGAAATATCGCGCAACAAGTATGACGGAAAAATAATGTTTTTAGTGGTTTTTACTTTCATAAAAACGAAGATAGATATAACAATAACATACTATTATATATATTTTTTTTATTTAGTGGAGTGGATTGAATTAGTTTAACGCCATCATTATTCTGAACTAAATTTAAAGAAGAATTTACGCAATGACATGGAAATAAATTTCGAGGTTTATAAGAAACTTTTTGTCTCTTGAAATTTTTTCATAAAACTAACTCCTTATAAAAAAATAAAATGTTAAGAATTGCATTTCGGCATTAATGAAATTCACCATTATTGAATTAAAACTCTTATTATTGAACAATTAGATGATTGGATAATAAATGTTTCATTTGACTAGTTGTGTTTTGTATTCGATGTCAATGTCAGATAAATCAATAATAAGAAACGCCTTAAGAAGGGACAGCAGCCCACTAGATTTCTTTTTATTAAATAAAAGTGATACTGTGTTCGTAATACGTATATTTATACGTGTATACCTAGTTAGATAAATATAAAATTAATTTGACAAAAAACATTAAATTTTATGATTAAAAAAAAGCAACAGACAAGAAAGCAGTGAATAAAAACTTGGAAAAATTCCTAATATTAA